CCCCCCCCACCCCAAGCTAGACTACTTGCAGGGAGTAGCTTTTCTTTTCTTTTTTGGAAAACGTTTTGCTATAGGATACATGTGCTTACCTGAGACAGACAGTGAGAGGTAAAGTGTGAAATCACCACCCGGGGGGATAGCCACACTATAGTCCTGGGGTTTTAGGCATACATGCACACATGACAGCGTGATTTTCAAGCTGCTAGGTGGGTCTGAGACTTGAACTGTGGTCAGCCATGTAGGAGTTCAGTACCGAAACCATAATGCTATCTGCTGGCCCAGAAATACCTTTTCAATCCTGTCTTTTTTCTTTAGAGAAGTAGCCTCTACTCTAAAAGAAATTCTTATACTGATAAATTATTTTTTTGGAGGGGGAGAAGTTTTTACTATAGGGCACATGCGCTTGCCAGACAGACAGAGACAGAGAGACAGAAAGCGAGAAATCACCCCCTAGGGGAGAGGGCCACACCACAATCCCTTTTCTTCCATTCTCCTCTTGGGATCTTGGGCACGCACAAACGTGCCTGGCGTGAGTTTTAAGCCACCAGGTCCAGGACTCGAACCGCAGTCGACTACATGGGAGTCCAGCAACATAGCCATTACGCTAACTGCTGGTCCCACTAATAATTCTTGATTAAAAATAAAAACTGGGACCAGCAGTTAGCGTAATGTCTATGTCACTGGACTCTCACGTAGTCGACCGCGGTTCGCGTCCCAGACCCAGTGGCTTAAAACTCACATCAGGTCCGTGTGCGTGCATGCCCAAGATCCTGAGAGGAGAATGGAGAAGAGGGAATTGCGGCGTGACCATCCCCCCTGGGGGATGATTTCTCGCTTTCTATCTCTCTGTCTCTGTCTGTCTGGCGAGCGCATGCACCCTATAGCAAAAACCTCTAAAAAAAAAAAAAAAGATCAAAAATAAAAACTAAAAAACAATTTTAAACATTACTTCTTTCTCCTCATTATAAAGTTTTTCACCATTTGTTTTTGATTTGTGTATTGGACCTTTTTACTTTTCAACATGTTTATACTGTTTAAAGAAAAACTTGACAAACTAAATGCAGCAGAGTTTAATTGCACAAAGAAGGATCTATGACTCAGGCAGCCCCCAGACCAGGTTAACTTTTATGGACAAAAGAGGTGACCTACGGGAAACAGGAGTAAGGTAGGGAAATAGCTGATTGGCACAGCCAGGCGTCTGCCTTATTTGAACACGGCTGAACAGTGGGCCGTCTGTGCCTGACCGGAGCTCAGCTGCTGTGATGGCTGTGACTCAGCGATGTGTTACAGAAGCAGACTCCTAAGTTAGATTTTCACTTTATTCACATAATAGGGTGGATTCCTATTTAAGAACTCGTACATGTGAATATGGAGGCTTTCTCAGGCCAAACTTAGTTTACTTCAACAATACCTATATTTCTTTTTTAAAAAAATTTTTGCCAGAGGGTACATGTCCTCACCAGAGAGAGAGTAAGAAAGCACTCCCCAGTTAAGAATGGTCACACCACAATACTTTTTCCTCCATTTTCCCTTTCCGATTTTTTCCTTTTGGGCATGCATACATGCCCAGCACTTTCAGGCCACCAGATTCAGAACCACGTAGTCGGCCATGGGAGAATCCAGCCACCCTAACCATCACCACCAGTTGACCCTCTTTTTCTTTTATCTAAAGGCAGTTGTAATATTTTCTTTCTAAAGGCTTACATAACGTGAGTTTTGTTTTGTCAGAATTGGGTAAACCCTGGGACCAGAGGTTAGCGTAATGGCTGTCGCTGGACTCTCATGTAGTCGATCGCGGTTCGAGTCCTAGACCTGGTGGCTTAAACTCACGCCGGGCGCGTGTGCATGCGTGTCCAAGATCCCGAGAGGAGAATGGAGGAGAAGGGATTGCAGCATGGCCATCCCCCTTGGGAGGTGATTTCTCACTTTCTGTCTCTCTGACTCTCTGTCTGGCGAGCACACGCGCCCTATAGCAAAAACTTCTTCAAAAAAAAAAAGAATTGGGTAAATCCTTTTCCTATCTCTCTACAAACTTCTAAACATAACTATGTCAAATCAAATGAAGAAGTTTTACTGGTGTTACTTGGTAGAGCCTACAGGATGGGTAGCAGACTTGAAAGTTTCCCATGTGACAATTTTTTTTAAGTTCATTTTTTTCTTTTCATGAGGCAGGGTACTCTTGAGAGGGTTTCACCACACTGTGACTCATGCCCCAGCCTCCTAATTAGCCAAAACCACAGGTGCATCCAACATGTTCAAGTCCACCCCGAACCTAGACCCGGGCCGTCCGTGTGGCTCCAGCATCACACAGCAGTGCCATACTACCTGTCCTACTGTTGCAGGCCTCCCATCTAATGATTTGATTCATTTATTTATGTTTCAAGGTTTTTGCTATAGGGCATGTGCACTCACGGGAGAGAGACAGAGCAAGACAGTGAGAGACAGTGAGAGGGAAAGTAAGAAATCACCCCCTGAGAGGATGGCTACACCACAATTCCTTCTCCTCCATTCTCCTCTTGGGATTTTTGGCATGCATGCACATGCACCTGTTGTGATTTTCAAGTTGCCTGGTCTGGGACTTGAATCATGGTCAACCACGTGGGAACCCAGCACCTTAACCACTATGCCACCTGCTAGCCCCCTAACAATTTTATTTTAAACTAGATACCACTTATCAATTTATATTATTTCTTTAAAATTATCACTGTAATAGTTGAGTAATAAATGTATCTAGAGGGAAAAAAATTACTTAACAAAAATATCTCAATCAATAAACATATTTCAGTCTTTGTAAAATGCAGAACGTTTTCCAAGGAAATGTGAGAATTTTTAAGGCTGATGCCTGGCTTAAAGGTGCTATGGCATAAGAACAGAACACATCATCAAAAATCTACATTCTAATCCCTTCCTTAAAAGACATCAGATAGAGCTAGCTTAGTAGAAGGTAACAGACAGTCTGGTGGGGCTAGCAGGTGGTGTGGTGGTTAAGGTGCTGGACTCCCACATGTCCAACCATGGTTCAAGTCCCAGACCCAGTGGCTTGAAAATCACACCAGCTCATGTGCATGTGTGCCCAAAATCCTGAGAGGAGACTAGAGGGGAAGAGAATGCAGCATGGCCATCCCACATGGGAGGTGATTTCTTACTTTTCCTCTCTGTGTCTCTCTGGTGAACACATGTGTCCTATGGCAAAAAAAGAAACAAAACAAACAACAACAACAAAAAAAAAACCAGATAATCCTGTTATCTAAACCATTCTAGAGAGAAATTTCCCAGCCTTTCCTAGGAAG